ATTGGAATCTGTTAAGTTAGAGGAAGATGATACAAAGAGCAAAAATATTGGACTTAATATTGAAGCTGTTGCAAATTACAATGGTACACCTATCTACGATTTGAATTTAGATACAATTACAGACAAACCTTGGAGAAAACCAGGAGCAGATATAACAGATTATTTCAATTATGGTTTCAATGAAGAAACATGGAAGATCTACTGTGAAAAACAAAAGAAGATTCTATCAGATATAGCAGATGGAACAAATAATAGTTCTAGTATTCCTAAAATTGGTACTATTGAAAGATCGGTTGCTCCTAATGGCAATAATAATCAACCAATACCACCATTTACAACTTCGGGTCCCAAAACAACTGGCGCTCCAACTCAATCGGTTACAGAGTCTCCTATTCCCATAGCTAGTATCAACGAAAATTCAAAATATTCTGGTATGGGATTAACCAAAAAAGCAGGTCCTCCTCCAGGTAGAAAACCAAGTGGTACCATTGATGTCATTGGAGGTGGAACACCAAACAGTCCATCAATGATCACTAGTCGTCGACCTCCGGATACACCCGATAACTTCAACTCTATGATGAATCAAGTTCCACCTGGGCCAGGATTACCGCCAGGACCTTTCCACTATCCACCACCGCCTTTCGGGATGCCACCACCACCACATGCTGGTATGGATTTCCATCTCATGGGCCCCAGAGGAATTAATCCATCTATGATTACAAGCATTCCGCCTTCTACAAGTTACCCGCCACCCCCCATCTTAGATTATAAAATGATTATAAAAAGAGAACGCGATGATGATGGCGAGAGCGACAAAAGAGAACGGGAAGAGAGGGATAAAAGGGAAAGAGAAGAAAGGGACAAAAGAGACCGGGAAGAACGAGATAGAAGAAGTAAAAGAAGGGATAGAGAGGAGCGTGACGAGCGCGAAAAGCGCGAACGTAGAGAGAGAGAGAAACACGTTAAAAAAGAGTTTAGAGATGAGAAAGATAGAGATAAGCGAGAAAGGCGTGATAAATATGATAAGAGGCATCGAGATGATAGAGATGATCGCGATGAAGGCAAAAAACGCAGAACAAGTGAAAGTGATTCCAGAGATCGAGAAGAGAGAGTGAAAAAAGAAAAAAAAGATAGAGGGGAAAAAGAGAGGAGAGAGAGATAAAATATCCCGCCGTCCTGTAAATGCACCATTTCATGTCATAGTCCTTAATCATTAACAGATTCAACTATTTAATAAATGAACTGAAAAGTTTCTCATCACTTACTCATGTAAATTCTGGTAAACTGTAATCAAAATGTGCTATAGAAAATTCATATTTGGCGGTTACCTAAACAGCTGATTTTGACTGACTTTTTTTTTGTAAATTGTGAACCCTAGGTAACAATTTTATTTCATTAATTACTTCTAACAGTTAATTTAAATACATTTTTATGAATCTAGACTTAAAATTATTTCTTAGCTGTATTTGATTACACAGTTTCTATGTTTACTGGTTCAAACATTGCATACATTAATCATGTGGTCTGGTTATGGCCTTCTGTTTTTATTTTTTGTGATTTTTCAATTAATTTTATTTGCTAATTCAGCCATCAATACTAATATGATACCTGAACATGCTAAAAAGAGTCGAAAATTGATTCCTGCTGATTGTTCACAACCCTTAGTTGGTCAATACGTTTGTAGTGAACCCATTATTGATCCAACCACGCAACAACCAGTTAATTGTGATAAAAATAACAAAGCTAAAGTAAATTGTACCCTTCGTGATGGATTTTACTGTGATGGTCAAGAGAAAAATGTGACAACTTTTTTGCAAGATATTGACTGTCTTTACACTAATGGATATTATTTTGAAACTGCTCTATTGCTCTCCATTTTTCTAGGTTTGTAAAATTTTATTTACTGACTGTTTCATTGTGATTCAGATTCAATATCTCCACTTTCTAATTCTTTTAATCTCTTTTTTTGCAGGTATGTTTGGGGCAGATCGCTTCTATCTTGGTTATCCAGCTATCGGCCTACTGAAGTTATGTACATTTGGCTGTTTTTTCATTTTACAATTCATTGATGTGATACTCATTGCGCTGCAAGTTTTAAAGCCTGTGGATAATTCAAATTACATTATAAGATATTATGGACCGCGTTTAAATATTGTACATATGGATAATAATAGCTGGCCACTGAATAAAAGTGAATTATAAACCTAAATTCGTCCAAAAAAGGCTCAAATTGACAAATTCTACTGCGGGATCTGGTAGAAATGTTTAAATGCTGAACCCAGCATCTCCGACACTTTTCAATCTGCTAACCTGAAGATATTTTTTATATTGAATTATGCTGATGAAAATAGCAACTTCAACTTGAGTCAACCTGTTGTTTACATTTTTGACGCGCAAACAATTTATTACTTGATAGAAATTAATTGAGTTGTACTGAAATGCTAGCAATACTTTTAAATGTTGAGTTGGCTGCTTGACAAAATGTATAAATATTTAACAAGCTGACCAATGGATTACAGTAGAAGAGTTAAGTCTTCCATAGAATCGGCATGTAAATATTTCTTTGGATCATAGCTATTGAATAAAGTGATATGATGAGCACATCATCGCGTTCATATGCTCTTCACCTCCTTCAAATTTTTTATTTCAATGATCAAATATAATTTCTCCAGTATTGCGAGTATGTTCGTCAAAATAGATGATGAAAGTCTGGAAAAGCTATTTTTATGTCCATAGCTTTACTTCCACAAAATATCACATCATAATTCGAGTATCAGTTCATTTATCCCCATTTTCCCCATCATTTCAAGTCGCTGAAAACAGAATTGAAATAAAAAAACTAAATTCTGATCAAATATCAACCTTTAATGGCCATTCTAAGCAATAGCTTCATTTCATTTCGACATACAGTCACAGAATAGCTTATTTTCTCTACTCTTCGGGCAGCGTAATTCATAATTTTCATAATCTTAATAGAACTTTAACTCGAAATGTTGCTTTAAGCTGATTTCGCGAGTTTTTTTTGATTGAAGTCAATTGGTAATCAAAGAAATCCAATCGAAATTTAACGAACTTGGAAAGTACAGTCAAGTACCAGATAGTGTCACTCCTGTGAAATTGCAATTTGTTGGGCGAAAATGTTTAATTAATCGAAATGGTCACAAGCTAGTAAAATCTGCACTATGTGTCAGAAGGCGCTAAAAATTAACTAGCTCAATATTCAAACTGAAAGACCATTAAGTTGAAATTGACCGAAAATTCAATTTTAGGTGACTTCCATCAACCATTTATTGAAATTAAAAATCTCAATATGTGTTGTGACATCACACTTTCTATCTTCTTTCCATGAATCTTCAATTTAAAAAACTAATCTCGATTCGATGAATTAAGATATGATGGAAGTCAGCTTTTATTAATATCTTGATAATTTCAACCAGAACTTTCGTCAAGAAAGTTTCTTAAAGAAACTTTCTTTACATGAAACTTTAGGGACCGTTAAATAATCTAATGACATTGTCTGGTACTTTAATATTCAATCTTCAGATGGCGCTGGTTTCTTTTGTCAAAATAATTGAGAGTTTACTGAATAAGATACAAAAAGTTTTTAAATTTGAAAAATCATCATTTGCAATGTTAGTTAAACTATTTAATTGCTACTGACAATGAAGGTTAATTTTGCAATTTTTGCAGTGTAAATGTTAAACAAATTTGGTAGCTTTTCTTTGAAATATCCGAAGCTTCACCTATCAGTTCGAGTTGCGTCCGTAATAGCTAAACTCATGCAAGTCAACTCATAATAGCCATTAGCTGACCTCTAAAGTGCTAATCTTCAAATGTTGTTTTAGTTAGATAATTTGGTAACGGAAGATTTTTCGATGCTTGGCGTTTATACCTATGTGTATAAACATATTTACAAATATAATAATCTTTTTATTGAGTTTGTCTCGGTTTCTTGTTGAATCTTTCATCAGGCAAACTTTTGAACAAAATTTTTTTATCCTATTGTGATAACTCAATTGGATTACCATTTAAGCATTATTTTGATTTGTGTTTCAATTCTTTATCCATCAGCTTTGGTATTTACTGTTCAATGTATTTTTTGTTTCAAACATTGTTAGCAATAGTATTAATCTGCTTAAATATTTGACTATTGAAGATTTGAAATGAAACAAGAGGATACAAATGAAGGATGATACAAGTAGCGAAGGTAAGAGATGAAGATGGCTGAATCCAGATGATTGAAAGATGATAATTAGGATTAAGCCAATGGACCAGTGGAAACAATTACTGTTAGTTGATAAATTTTGAAGTGAACAGCAAAACTGAAATACAAAAAAAAGACAAAGAAGGAGTGAAAATGTTTGAAGGGCAAAGAAAAGGCAAAAATGAAGATGAAATGTTGAATCTGGGCAAAAGAACTGTAAATTACCTTGAAATATAGCGTGAAAAGGTGATGTTGAAGTGAAGTTAAAAATGGTTTAACAATGAATACAAGATGTAATAGGATGATGATGATGTTAATAATAATGATAATTGTAAGAAGTGAATGAATAGTGATTGTGTTGCATTGAATCTGTCGACTTATCCAATTCAAAGTTACTCCAATCGTAATAATGATTGGTATTGGAATCTGTTTCTTGAAAAGTACATTCAAAAGAAGAGTATTATTTGGTACATTTCTAGGAGCAAAGGATGATGCTGATGATAAAGAAGATGAAGAAAAAGGCGGAGGAGGTTGTGGTGGTAGGTTGTAATAACAGGTTAGGGAATGAAGAAGCAAAAGAAACATAAGACACACACAACAGAAAAAAGAAGAAGCTGAAGAGAGAAAAAAAAGAAACTTTGACATGCAGTTACAAGTCGTTTTCACAGAGGGTGGTGAACACAGGGTGAACAGTGAGTTGAGTTGTTGTTTCTACCATAAAGATAACAGCACATCAAGTTGTGTGTGTGTGTGTGCTGAGCATAAGCACATAAAGTGAGACAATAATAATAGTAATCATAATTGGTCACGAGCGAAGCAAAAAGTCATCCAAAGTGAAAAGAAAGGTCAGCGGGTTGGAACCAGTAATTTGTCATTCAAAAGGCTAAAGATATTACTTTGAAGTTTATTTCAATCTTTTTCTTTCATCCCTTGGATTTATGTGTCAATGGTGTCAAAACATTTTTTAATTTTCATAACACTTTTATTCATAATGATAAATCACTTGATAATATACTAAAAATTCAATTGAATAACAGTTAGAGATGAATAGAAACATATGGATATCGAATCAACCGATATTTATCGATATTTTTCTTGAACCGATATCAATATTAAGACGTGATATCGATATAAATGCATAAAATGAAATATCGTCAAGTTTCAGCTTTAGGCTTTAATTTGTCCAATTTTTTTCATGACCACTCTTTCTTATTCTTAAAATATTTTTTCTGTTGTAACTGGAGAACATGCTCGAATTAGGTTCTGATAGTTACTGAACATTCAGTCAATCAAGTCAACTTTCAATATAAGATTTTCTGGTGTTGTTTGATATACTGATATTGAGATACTAATATTGAGCATCTCTAATCTAAAGGTGAGTTTCAGTGTTTCCAAGAATGTTGAATGAATTTTACTTACTGTGATCACTATTTCATCGAAAACTGTCGATTAGATCTTTTTTATTGTACTTAAACTGGTCAAGACAGCTAAAAAACAGCTAATATTGATTTACCTTTTTGGATATTGACTGTAAAGAGATTTACTCAATTTACAATTTAACCTAAAAAGACGTTTCTATCTCATAATCACTCTGCTTAGTTTAACTGCAAGTTTACTGGGTAAACAAAATCTGATAATCGTGAAACAATTGCATGCTATTAATGATTAGAAATTGCAATTTCGATTAGTGGCCATATGAACTTTAAGTTCTGGATTGATTTTAATTTTTTTTCTAAGTTTGATTTTTGATCATTGAACCAATAATTTGAAAAATCAATTTTTTGCTTTTGAAAGCAGTGTGAAATGACGTGCAAGATAAATGTTATCAATCACATGTTAATGAAGTTTATTAGATTAACTAAGCTTTCTTGATAAGCTCGTGATTAAGATTTAAAATCGCTATCATTTCATATGCAACAACCTAATATTTACCTGAAATTGAGACTTTGTTCAATCATAGATGGCAATCTAAATTAGAAGAGCATTGAGAAAGTGTTAAGTCTCATTGACCAGACAGTCTTTTCTGGTTCAACGTTGGCTTTCATTTTTTAGCTTTTTTTTGTTCTTTTTCAGCATTTCATCATAAATTTGGATTGGTGCCTCGAAATGGCGCCAAGTTTATCGTCAGCCTTTTAATTAATCTCATTGGTGTGTCGTTGGTATGAGAACATTTTTTAATTTTCATCATTTCTGTTGTATTTTTATTCACATTTCATGATCTGCCTCTGCTCTCCTTAATCTTCCTCCCAGCGACTATTTTCACTGTTACACTTTAAGCCTGAAAGCTCCACCTCACCTAACCCTCGATTGGGTTTATAGTCGTACAAGGCGTGACTCTGTTTTATACGCACTCGTATTGCAAGTGTTTTGGGTTAAGGTTTTCATGCTGCTCTTGAGTGATGCTTGAGTTGATGGTTTGATGTTGAGAGTTGATTATTGTGAGCAACAAGAAGCTGTTTAAGTCATCTTTTTTTTCATCGTTTTTCTTCTCATGGGCTTGTTAATAACATTATCATCATGAAGATGGTTTCTTGTGAAGGTTGTGGTCAGCCCATTAAAGACCGCTTCTTGGACAAAATATTGGACCGTGCTTGGCACACTTATTGTGTCGTGTGTTTTGACTGTAAAAGTGAATTGACTGAAAAATGTTACTCTCGTGAAGGCAAATTGTTCTGCAAGCAAGATTTCTTCAAGTAAGTTAACCCTTTTCATTACCTAACGATATTGTCTCATCAAACTCAAAGTCATCTAATGGACCTTTTTTCCTTCCATTTCGCCTTTTGTGTGTTTTCCATCGCAATCATCTGTCAACTTGTACAACGTGATTACCAACCAAATGGATACAACTTTAACTTTAACCAGACGATTTGGTAAAAAATGCGCCCGATGTTCACAAGCAATATTCCCTGAAGATTATGTTCGCTGGGCTCGCAACAGTGTTTACCACATTCGCTGTTTTACATGTGTTGATTGTCACAAGGAATTGTTAACAGGAGATGAACTTTACATCATCAATGAAGATCAACTATTTTGCAAGAGAGATTATCTAGCATCAAGTCAACAAAGCCACGGTAATTATCAATCAATTGATTTCAGTAGGTTTCTTCATTTCAGTTTCACCTTTCAAACCTTTACGCAAACAGAAATTCGTTCAAATTAAGCTTCAACTGTCAACGGAAATGATTGTCTCCAATTGCTGTCAACACATTCGGATACGTGATGTGTGATTTCACTTGTTTTTCTCGTATTTTTCCAATAGAACCCTTTAGGTGTTGAAAATAAGAGTATTAAAGCGATTAAAAGATTAGCAAAATGAGCTGGAACCTTCTTCTGCTTAAAGCTGAATCTTCTTGAACAGCAACACCAAAAGTCGATTCGAGTTGTTTGTTCACCTGAAAAGACTCTCACACTTCAAACTTGTACTAAGCTAAGAAGAAGAAGAAGAAGAAAAAAGTAAATGAAGAGCAAAAAAAACTCTCGATTATGTATATTGAAGAGGACAAGAGCTAACAGTGATGATGAAAGAAGAGATGAGAATAAACTCGTAGGTGCAGATGATGAGGATGAACTGGAAGCGTGTTGCATCCTCTTTGTGTTGATGATGGAAGATGAAGATAAATATGAGAAGATTGTTTACATTGTGACCAAAAATTTGCTTTTAATACAACAAAATAATTTGAGTTTGATTAGCATCACATTTCAACCTTTAACATTGATTAATCTTGACGAGAAGTAAAAATATTGAATAACCCAATATTGGGTTGAAAATGGCAAGCGTGCTCATCTTGTGTGTCAACCAAACAGTCGACCCCTAATGTGAACCTCAATTTTGACTAATCAATCTTGACTCGTTAATTACAATTGAAACATTACAAGATGAATGGAAGCAGAAAAAAATGATATCAAATTTACTCGACACTCATCATTGTATCAAAAAGAGTAATGAAATCAGTGTTGATCAATTTTTACCATTCATTACGACTTTTCCTAATTATTTACTTTGTTGCAATATCATTAACTGTTAACATCATTAACTTCATTTGTGACTCTTAATGATCAATATGAGAGCAAAAGTATCTTTTATTAAATACATTTATTTACTCATTACTGGAACATCATTACAACGAGTAAATACAAACGCCCAAGTTGACACCCTTAATTAATAGGCGAATGACCATTAATTAAGAAACTCGTAATTTCCAATATTTCAACCTTTTCTTTATTCAGATTATTCCAAACCTTCGAGTCCATGTGTGTTGAGTAAACATTGAAACTCTGTTTGGTTTGAATTTCATTTCAATCTTTTTTGTCGAGTTCAATATTTGCATGATGACGGACAAGAAGAGTGAAAATGCGATTTTTCAGTTTTTCTTCTCGTTTTTGATTTTTGGACCAAAGTTTGAAAATTTTCTCTTCTTTTCTTTACCTGATTAAGGTCAGATGATATTGAGTAAACCTATCAAAATTGTAGAGACAACCTTTCTTGTGAGTTTTATATTCAAGTGCCTGTGTAACAAGAAAAGTAGGAAGAATGGAAGATGAATGTCGGGTGAGAAAAAGAAAGAAATGTTTAGGATGAAAAAGTTCATCTTCTCTGTGGATTCAAGTTACCCAAGTCTCCACCTTTTTTCTCCTTACATCTTCTTACCAGGTTCTTTTGCTTGAACCAAGAACCTCCCATCTTCTGCCTCCTCCTATTTGCTTTTCATCCTCATCTTTTTTCTTCCTTTTCCACTCGCCTTCAAGCTTACCATCTTCATTATCATCAACATCAAACTTACTCTTGGTATCAAAACTTGCAACTTTTATTACACTTTTACATTTTCCAGCTTTAAGCTTTTTCACATTTTCACCATCATTTTATAATCTTTTTGTGTCTCATTCATCACAGTCATCATCGTGATTCTCAATCCCTTGACAATAATGACAATCTTGAAGGAAACTTTTCTCTTAGCGCCTCGATTCACATCTGACAATGAAACACCATGAAAAAGTCTTGGAAAATGACAAAACAAGAGAAACTCTAAATATTGATGAAATTATCGCAATGATAAACATGCAATATTTGTACTTGACTTAAGGTTCGTAGTCGCCTTAACAATTTGCAAATAGTCTTTCATCATTTCAATTGGTTTCATTGAACAGGCTGAATTTCCAATCCTTTTCTTTATTCCCTGCAAATGAGAAGTTCAACAGAAAACTTTCTTTTACAACATTTCAACTTTGACTGGCGAATGTTGAGGTTATTGATGATCGAGTTGATTTCAAACTGATAATCTTGAAATTTTTAGAGGAAGGGGAAGAGGGAAAATGGCAAACACATGGATTCGAAAGGAATACTTCATGAGATTGTATCTTGTTGCAAAATAGATTACATTTTCTTCTGATAACTTCGAAAAAAGTTTCTTCTCTTTCCTCTCTTCTTCTTTTTTGCCATCTTCATTGATGCCTTTTGAACTTGAAGACGAAGGCAACATTTGAAGAGACAAAATTTACGACTCATAACTAAATGTCGCTAAGTTTTCCTTTTCTTGACAAGTTGAGTTAACATCTTTTACTTTCCATCTTTAGGTTACTTTTACTATTATGTTATTATTATGCCTCAGTCTATCTTATCATTTCATTTACATTTGCTATCATATTCAGCTTTATTACTTCAAATCTTGACTTCTGTCTACAAATTGAGTTCGAGACATTTTTTCTTGATTCATTCGCATTTACCATTTCTTTCGTCAACCAATTAAACTTTAAAAATGTTACTTTCCATTATAGCCATTGAAATATAAATAACTTTAGACCGGTGAAAATTTATCGAAAAGTAAATTCATCTGTTCCAACAGTGATTCGTCTATTGAACAGCTTGCATTTTCTTGATCAGTTTCTTTCGATTGAAATACTTTCTTGATTACTGAGAATTTCGAATCGTTATGAACGAAATAATGCAAGATTGATATAAATGTTGAGATAGTGCTTTTGTTTGCTTCTTGCATTGAATCTCAAGTTTTATGTTTTGTTTTGCTTTCACTTGTTTTTTTGTTTCTTTGGCATTTTTTTATGATTTTTGCGCATTTCAATTGACAATTCCCGCAATTTCATCTTATCTTTGCCCAAAGATATGAAGTACTGCAACTAACGGAGATTCTTTGAGATTTGCTAGAAACAGTAAAGATATCGATAAACGAGCCTTTCTTACTCGTTGCTCTTTTTGCAACTTAATTACTAACTCTAAATCAATATAACTTCGCAACCTTTCCTAATGAGTCAATAAATATTGTCAAAACAAGCACAAGTTGACCTCGGGATGGCTTCATTTTGTGACCATCATTACCTTGTAAATAGTTTTAAAGGCCAAAATTATAGCAGCAGAAGCTCAACAGAAGTACTAAGAGTGTAATAAACTATAGCTAATATCAGCTTATACACTAAGAAAGGGAGAAAACAAGAAAGTCAAAAAAAAGTAGAAAGAAATACTTAAAGTTAGTAAAAAAAACTTGCGAAAAAAAGACTCATTTTTTGGAGCCTTTGTGACCTCAATTAGGCCCTTTACAGAGACAAAAGCCATGAGCGTTACTCCAAGCAATAAAGCCAGTAACCCACACAACGTCACAAGGTCAGGAAAGGTAACCTCTGGAGAATCGATTTGCCCACTAATCTCAGTGACTCTGCAAAATGTGGAAATTTACCTTGAAAAATGTTCGAAAAAATGAAACTTGAAAATCACCTTTTCCCCAACAACCATTCAACTCTTTACTACAAAGCAAACAAACCAACAATGTTTGTACCTTGTTTAAATCGAGTTAATCTATTGTCATTCAATACTATTGAGCTTAACCATAATCTCTTAATCTTTCAGTAACGTTGAGCCATCATTAAATGCTTCCTCATTCACTAATCAAAACCAAGGTTTAAAGGTTCAAAGAGAATCGAAAAGAACGCAACACAAAAAAAATGATTACTGACTTTATGTTCATGTCAATAACGCCTCCCTTGAATCATCACAATCATGATGATGATCATGTAATGTACATTTGAGTGAAGAAGAAAAAAAAAATTACTTTTTTACATCAATTTCTTCAACCTTGAATTTGCCTATTTCCATCTTTTCGCTTGTCAACTTGACAACCTTTTTTCCTCCTTAATTTCTTTCTCATCATCATCTCGATCATCTTTCGTGTACAATCAGTCAACATCCTCGACTGTCCATACTCTCTCTCTCTCTCTCTCTCTCTCTCTCTCTCTTCCTCAATCATCCTAATACACATGATTGAATCACGTGACAAAGCCACGGTTAAAAAGTCCATTGATCGATTCAACAAAGTCACGGAACAGTTACAATTTTTGTCTTGTTTAGTCTTTCATCTTGTTTTCATTGGATTCATTGTACCTTGCCAGTTGTACCATTCATCTGGTCCAATATAAACAATGATGATCACCCAATGAATCCAGTTGATTCACAGAGTAACCATTGTCTTGTGTTTACTCTTATTGGCTTTTCTCATTTTTCTGATCAACAATTGACATTAGACTGTTTAAACAATCAATCTCATCTTGTGCTTATTCAACCTCTAATCTCTGTTTTCATTGCATCTTTCAATACTTCTGTTTACATGCCTCAGGTAATATTGATTATTGAATTTAAGAATTGCTACAAGAGAGAAACTCAGACTCAGAACACACACACACCAGCAAATAGAACAAGAAAAAAGCAAAAAAATCACTAAACAAACATTTTAATCATTTCTCCTTTTCCCGTTACTTCTAGATATTGATTGAAACAAAAAAATCAGTTTGAAGTCGACTTGAGACAAAAGTTGAGTTTTCACCAGTTTGGATAGGAATGGTTTCACTTGAAACATTTATTATTCACAGCAAGATATATACACAGTACATCCACAGGGAAACGATAGGCAAGAATAGTTCACATGAAAATCAAACATGAAACATTCTCCATGTAATATGTATAAGAGTAAAATGGAAGAGAGAGAAAAGAGATTTTCTTTTCCCTTCTAAGCAAATATTATTTTTCTTGAAATATTCAAAGCATAAAAACATCACCATTTGCAATATATTT